AAAATTTCAAATGCCTTTGAATAGTTCAACTTAAGTCGAAAATTTTTGAAAGTTGCATGGTGGATAGAATATACTTATATAAACATTCGGTTAAAATTTCATGTATCTATGTTCATTTGTTTTAAAATTACATCAAAAACCAAAATCGATAGTGTGCGTACATTTTCCCGTTTTTCCCTTAATTTTTAGTTTGTTTTTTCGATTATTTAGAAAAGTATTAAGAATTATTCACTTTTGACCTCCCAAAGTACCAACTAGATTCACTTTCTGATCGAACGAGGTACTGATGTCAAAAATCGAAGGTTCACTTGGAACACTCCATGGTAAAATCAATACATTCATCGCTCCGCTCAGAATCTAAAATATAATAAAACTACCTAATTGGTTATTATTAATTAGTGATGTAAATCGAAATATATACTTTTTAATTTAGACTTAAGTAAAAGATTCAATTAAAGTTATTGAATAATGAACATGGAAGCATYAGATATTATGGTGAGTATACAGACACAAAATTTGAGTGCAATGGTTTTTCAGAATCATAGAGCACTGAATAAGTAATGAAACAATTATTAAAACTATTGATATAGAAACTTAAATAAATAATTAAAAAATAATGATTAGAAAATGTTACTTTTTTACCAAAGACCTAATGTCCTAATCACAATGAATTATGTCTCAACATTTTCAAATTATAGACCACTATTAGTGTAACAGAATATATGTAAATTGTACTGTACATATGTAGTGAGTTGAATACACATTAAATTAAATAATAATTAATAATTATAAAGGCTTTTTTTTTTTTATATCAATCTATAATTCTTATTTCATTAAAATTCTAACAAAATATAAAATGCCACTGGATTTTTTCCCACTACATTATACTAAAAAACATACTTATGATTACTCAATTTTTCTTACAGAGGAAAAACATTTAATAAGCTACATTACATTTTTATTAAATAAATACTAGATCACAAAAGTCTTATGGTTATAAATTATACATAGTAATAAATTATAAGTAATCTGGTTACTTTTGTAAATCACAATTATAAGGTTACCCTGTTCAGTTTTAAAATTGTATTACCAGTATAATTTACTTTTAGATTTTATTACAGGTTGCAGAAATGAATACAAGTAAAGAATAATATCATAGGTATTAATGTATTATAAGATACATTACATAAATTAATTTACAAAATGTTATGGTGACATAAAAATCAGTCCAATAGTTGTTCAGCAGAGGCACCTTGGTCAATAGGTGTCTGGATAACACTCATGCCCTTTGTAGTTATTAATGGCTTTGACTTTTCGTATGGTGGCGCAATCGGCCCTTGCACAGGATTTCTCTGTATGTATTGAAGGCCGTCAATTTCCAAAGGATAAGTCTTGTCAGCGTCAAAGCCACTTAAACTACCGCAAGCAACGAACGGCGTGATGACTCTATGCACATCCATCTCGTCCCAGGACAGAGAGTCATTGGTCATCAGCGGATTAGCCATAGTGGGCTTGTAGCCATCAGGTAGCCGGAAATCTCGGCAAACGACAAATGACTCRATGCTGGAGTTGCGCGAACTGCAAGGCTTGGCGACAACTACATCACCGAAGAATATCTCGAGCTGGGAGATGAGTAGTGACGAGTCCTTGCCGCGGAATATCTTGCCGATAAATGTGCCSCCAGGCTTGAGCAGGTAAGTGGTGATGTTCAAGGCAGCCAGCAACAGCTGCGCCTGCACATACTCATCCAGATCGTGCAGTCCGGTGACGTCTGGTGCACCGTCGAACACGACCAGGTCTACCAACTGGCCGCCATCAAACTGAGCGAGAATCTCGTTGGCGGTGCTCTCCTTGGTAATGTCGCCCTTCAGCTGCACGACACCGGGCAACGGGGCCATCGACTGCAGGTCAACCGCGACGATCTTCACTTCGTCCTTGTCGTCGCTGTCAGAATACAGTGCCTTGCTCAACACCTGACTCCAGCTTCCCGGGGCTGCGCACAAGTCCACCACCCGCTTGACGCCATCCAGCACATTGAACTGGCTGTTGATTTGAATCAGCTTGAACGCGCTCCGAGCCCGCCAGCCCTGTTCCTTGGCCAGCCGGTAATATATGTCACGCTTATCCTTAGACGACTTGCCCATTATATCTGGGGCTGGTCGCTGGTGATTGACGTCGATTCGGCGACGTAGTGGCGTAGACGTCTAAAATCAATAATCCGAGATTCTGGACAAATTATTATTAAGAAGTAAAAAATAATAATATTATTAATGTAATGTCTATAAACATTAACACGGTAAATAATGATTAATTAATGAATCGATGAAACAATAATGATAAGCGTCAAGTGATAACGACACCAATATCTGTTGAATTTTATTTATCCCGAGATAACGCTCTAGTCTCTACTTAAAACTCTTGTACCTCTTTTTAAAAAAAATTTTTCCGTTCTCGTAAAGAATAATTGCGTTACATAGACTTATTAATGTATTATATCACGGAAGTAGGAAATAAACTAATTAATCTTATAATAAGTCAATATAACGAAAACGTTGAAATCATAAACCAGATAAGTCATTAGTAAAAATTAATAAAAGTTTATTCATAATTCGTTAATTTTGTTTAAAACTTGTAAGAAATATTTACGAATCGTGATGATATAATACGATAATATTCAGTATCTATGTTATTTTTGTTTTTTAACTATACATAGTCTGGTGTAGTCTAATGCGTAGAAAATCGCCTTTAGAGATTCTTTGTGCTTCAAATATTGGCCTTAAAACTTAGCAACCTGGCATTAGTGCATTCCTCATGACTTCTGTTATTGTGGCAGTTCATTTTTGAAAACTATAACTTCCAAGATTAGCTATCCAGAACTCCGGACAGTAAATATAGGATTTACTGCAAAATGCTCTACCAGAGTAAATGTTCTCAATACCCCCCCTCTCCTTGGAATATGTCAACTTTAACCTTTATCACTACACGAATTAACAGCATTAACATATTAGCATAAGATCTATGACTCATATTTTACGCTACAAAAAATAAAATAAAAWAGCACAAGTGTAGCAGCAGAAGCAAATTCCCCAATAGGTAGATCACTAATGTAGTCAGTTGCCTAGAGTGATAAATTCTGTAGTATTAAGAATTGATTCACCCTGGGAAAAATGAAAAAATATTGAATAGGAAGATACAGTGTAGGGAATTAGGCTCTAATCAACTCTTAATAAGTGATCAGTCAGTCACAAGTCATCACGTGATGTTCAATTATATAAAATTAACCTATATATAGATTATGAACTGAAYTGTGGCAAATCTTGTATTACATTTTCAAATGTTGCCMACACCATAACTTCAAATGCTGAATGAATGATTTAAGAATCTAAAATTATGAATACAATAATGAATAAGTATGTAATTTTTAATTACCAGAAGTAATGTTTAATTGTTGTCTACCATTTAATATTGTTAACATAAACAAATTACCTMAAAATATGTATATTAGTACTGATATTATGATGAACATTTTTAATTGAACCATCCAATTACCAATTTTATACTTATATTTTATTACATATAAAATGTGTCAAAAATTTTCAAGTGTAWTATAAACTTTTTAAAATAATTTCAAATGACCAAGTTTTAAAAAATGAATTTTTATTATTTGATAGCATAATATTATTTAAATAAAAAATGTAAAACTAATGAAAATAGAGTTGAAAAACCAATACATGAAAGGAAATAGATATAAAACAGTACTTACAAAATACCATATGCCTTTACTTTGAAAAATCAATTATGTTTCATTTATAAATTTATTCAAAAAATGTAATGATAACAAACTCTTTTGTATTATATAAGGGTTGTTAACTCCAACACATTAAATATTTAGTTAGTACTCATTTACAAATACAAGTTTCAAAAACTTAGTTTGGTATATTAGCTAAATAATCAGCTACTTGTTGTTGGTCAAGCTTTTCAAAAATGATTTCATTTTGTCTATTCTTACGACATACACCAACTTCAATATTTTCTGCAGTCATTTGTCCTTCAAAACCTTCTTTTAATGCTAAAATCGCTGTATGAATAGCATCTTCCAACTCCAAGTCTTCCTTATACCTAAGACACATTTTTAAATTGGATATAATGATATAAATGATAACTTATAATAATCTAATGTTATGATCTAATTTAATATACCACAAATAAGCAGTTTCATGATCTTTTTAGCATATAAACCAAATACAACCTTGAATGCTGCACTGAATACTATGATGATTAATATAAATTAATAATAAAAATGAATTTCATTGATAATAAATTAGAAGCTTTATCATAAAAAATATTCTTTAGTAAATATAATAGCCAAATGCTAAGTTAACWAAAAATTACCGCATGGAGGTGAATTWATTAAATATTAAAAATAAATGGACAAAAAGTCTGGACACAATTTTTGATAATCAAATAAATAGCCCATGATATAAAATAATTAGTTTCATTTTATCTAATTTTGGATTATAGTGCCCTTGAATTGGRTTTAACACTAAAGGACACATCACGGTGTACAGTTTATTATTATACAATAAAATTACCACAGTTAGATTTATTTGATTTCATAGTCTGTTAAATAAATAAAGTATTGAGTCCAAAAAATAATAACATACATATAAAGATACTGCCTATTAAAAGTACATCTAATTAATGATTAAAATAACATCAAATATATTTTAAGAAGTTTATTTTTAATTTACCTTTTTTCTAAAAACTGTTTGCTATTAACATAATTTTTTCCAAGTGCTGTGGCCTTCCATGCAAAAAATGCGCCCGATGGATCACACTGATAAAGTTTGGGACCAGTTTTATCCCAGCCGCATACCAACAATGATACACCAAAAGGTCTCACACCCCTGAAAAACCAATTAATCAAATTTTAAAAGCTGTTAATAATATTTATTAATTACCAGTTTCTAATTTCAAATAATATTTTCATTTTATCTTTTTGTTAAACAAAATATTTTATACATATTATTCTTGATGATGTGGATTAGTGATAATCCAAACATGACATAGTCTCACTCAACTCAATAGTTTTATTTTGAAGATATTCCATTTGTAATGTTTACTTTATATACTTATAAGATTTATATCTTATTATTATCATTAAAAGGAATTCTAGTAAAATATATCATTACTTTCACATAAAATACAGAAGAAAATTATATTTTGTCAGCTAAAGACATTTAAAATTGAAAAATTCACTACATAATAAAAATCTAGAATTTTTAAATTAAACTTTATATTTTGTAAGAATAATAAGATTCTGGATGGTTGTATAATATTCACAAATATAACAAAAAAAATCCCAGCAAGTCTTTAAAATTGGGATTATTATAGCGGACTAAACTATAGTTCGAGGGGGTTGTTGCTAATATATTTTTAGTAGTATAAATAAATAACTTAAACTAATTACCCAGATTGTGTATATTCTTGCATAACACTAGCAACTTCTTGTACTAGTAAAGCTGTAGGTATTTCTTCTTCAAATTTCAATTGGTACTGAGCTGCTTCTTTTCTTGCTTTTCTAACAAGAAGTCTATAATCTGGTCCCATACCTTCAGACATCACAACCAATAAATTAAAAATCTTAAATAATACTTATATTTTATTTCTAAATTCGTATCAGTAGAGTTTAATAGTTAATGATTTCCTAGCTAAAAATGTTCTAAAAACTTGTGTTATTTGTTCAACATTTACTGTAAATTTTGATCAATTTCGAAGTTCAATCAATTGAGAACAAAAAATGTAAGATTATTATTTATGTTGAATTAAACAATTAGAATAAATAAAAATAGCATTTCAAAACTTTTTCACAAAAATAAAATTATACTATTAATTTTTTTTATGTTTTATTATTTAAGTACCTATTGATAAATTAATTAATTTAAGAAAGTACTATACATCCTTGTTTTTAACAGTTACAGTTGGTCATATATTCAGATTATTAGATCACAAGATAAACTTTCAAGCCTAACTTATTAATTTAAAGGAAGGTACAAAATTAACGTACATAGTATTTAATGCATGGAATACAAAATAACTGATAAAAAGAAATATTTTACTTATAATTTAATATAGGTATCTAAAACTATCAAAATAATTTATCAAATGTATTGAATATTTGTTATGTAAAATAAAACAAGTTTTTAGAGTAATTTAACTCAAATTTACTAAAATTATGATTCAATTAGATTTCCTGTTTGATTTAAATCATTTTTATATTTACCGCTGTAGACCATTCCAATATTGGGTGTAATTTTTTGCACTTTTTCAACTGTTGTTTCATATAAAAGAGATTTACGTTTATTTTCTGTAGCAACWACAACCCCATTTGAAGCTAAAAAATGTAAAAAAATTTGTATTAATTTAAATTTACTACATAAAGTACGAACAATAAAAAAAAATTGCGATAATTTAAATAACAGAACACTTAGACCCTTACACATATAAATATATAAATGAATAACAAAACCTCAAAAAGCCAATAGTATAATACAGGGTGATTCAACAAACAAACTTATCACATTTTTTCTTCAATAACACAGTTACTTAAAATCAGAATATAGAATTTTTAAATTGTTGAGATTTTTCAATTACTTAAGAAATGTCCAGAAAAGATACAAACTTCTATCCCTTAAATAAGATCCTTCTTATTTACTGAACATTGGTTAGTGGATAATTTATCCGAGAATATTCACGTATCGAAATCAAAATAGGTACGAGTAGTTTTTGAGTTATTTAACTAKATGTACTACTAATAATAATAGGTTCATAATAATGGGTTTAGATTTCAGAAGATGTAGTAAATTAAAATATTAAAATTGTTTAAAGAAAACATTTAGACAAATCGATATGACATATCCTCAACAATATTATTCTTTATCGTTTTTCTGCAGAGAATAGTTTCATTCTAAGATTACTCAAAAATATTAAAAAAATATTGTCCATAAATGTATTTTGTCTATGTTGCGTGTGGACCAGACAGAAAACAACAGTACACCAACATCCTCTTAAAAAGATATGAATGCTGTTTGTAATACTT